ACAGTTAATTGTTGTATCCTGCGACAGCTCAGCAGTAGAATGTTTGTGGGCTAATTTGCCAATAACCCGTTGTTACAATAGCCCAATCAACGAGATTTAAAGCGTTGCACGCAAATGCAACGTTTGCGAAAAATTTCGACGCTCGAATGGTGAAAAATAATCATCTCCCACGCGCTTGAATTAAAAATCCTCCACAGTCACAAGTCAAACAAATAAAACGTGTTTCATTTGGACACATGAGGAACCAGTCGAGATGGAGAGTGGAAAAAAAAGAAAGAAAACAACCCCTTATTAGTGATCAACCGGGAGAAAAACAAAGCTTGATTTTGCACCGTTTCAAATGTAAAATTATTAAAGAAGATGCATCTCTCGATGGAAAAATTGAGCTTTCCACGGCGCAAAGATCCGCACCAGTGGCCAATCATTGAACGAAAAAAAAATACACCGTAATCTCGAGATCCCAAAAGACATGCAAATTTTTTACGGCTTATTATCTTTCGGAGCCGTATTTCCCTCCCTCGCTCGCACGAGGGATGATATTGTTGATCCACGAGGACAAAGGAGAAGCTTATACCCTGACCCACTTTTCCGCACCCTGCCCTCATAACCGTACATACTTTATCGATCTCCGGAGCCACATACACGTGGCATATCTCAATTAAAAACCAATACAGCCGCCCGTATAGAGGACGCAATTAAAAAACATTTTCCCGTGGAAATACAATTTGCCCTTCCAGTGGCCGAGATTGCCCATCAAGGGGCCGTCCGAGGAAAGAGATGGAGGGGAAAGTAAGCTACGTATACGACGGCTAGCGGATGCACATATTCAAAATCTCATCTGTCGGGAGAGATCGCGCTGCACGAAAGCGACTTACAAGCTAGATATCAAATGCATGCGGGAGGGGGCACTGCAGCAATCATCCAAATGCACTATCGCTCTCTCGTTCGTTTTTGGTACCCTCCATCCCCGCGATGGTTCCGGCAGATGCGCCAGATGAACGCGAAGGGGCGAAAATAATTTGATATCTCCCACCCACCTCCTCCTCGTCTCGGGGTTATACACCAAACGAAGAAGGGATGGAACAAAGAGACTTTCGCCATGTTCCCCGGCATCCCGTGCTCTGCACCCGCCTTCGGCACTTTATTACGCGTCAAGAGCCAAGAGGAACGTCGGCGCTCGGAACATTCTTTTAATGCTCGTTAAAGTATAACGGGCCGATGAACGCGTCGTAATTATCGGAGCGCGCGGTGAAGGAATTACTCCGGTCGTAAAGTATGTATAAGTGCGGATGTGGTTCGAGTGGGGCTGTGTTGTACACCCCGAGTGATATATCTTATTAGTCGCGTTATTTTAACTTGCGATTCCGTACGGCTCGCACTCTCATACCCACCCTCGTTGGGTGCGGATGGAAAATCAAAGTTCGTGGTTCTCGTCCACCCCACCCCCCTTCAACTTTACCTTTGACACGTATACTTGCGAGTAATCATCATAATTTGCAATTCGACGCCACTACAGCCTCAATCTTACTTTCTTGTTACTCAATTAATGCCAAAGTACGGCGTAGAAATAAGTATGTATTTAGTTTTACACGTAAGTACACGTGTAAAAGAGAGAAGTCATTGTACCCTTGGGTGTCCAGAAAATGTATGAGGTATCGGTTTTTCATTTCAACGGTATAGGTAGTATATATACGGATGGTAATTAATTTTCCCACCAAAGTCCGTGCATGAAATCGCGCACTGCATTGTCAAGGAGCATCAACAACGCGCGTGTCCTGAAAGCCTCATCATCGGCGATACCTGTGTACATACACACTGCACGCGCGTTTCGGTTTTTCGAACAAGGCTCGTGTAATCCGACCAACACGCGAGCAATCGGATTTGATTGTTGATAAACACTGGACCAAACTATACACACATGTATATTTTTCACCGAACGCAAAGCGCTCTATGTATACAAGGACGGCGCGAAAAAAGGGACGGGGGTATAAACGCTCGCGTGTATAGAGAGGGAGGGGGGGCTGAATCGTGCTTTGCAAGCATGGCAAAAATCAAGATGGATCAATCGCTCGAAACACTGAATGATCCTGCAGTTTTCGAGAACGGAAAAAGGATGGAGGGGGCGTACTATGTTCACGGCGCTGCAGCGACACAAAGGGGGTGAAACTGGAAGGGAAAACAGCAGCGAGCGCGTGGCCATGTACCCATCAGGTACCCCGGAGGTCCAATACGCGTAACGCGGCGTACAATCCTGCTCGAGCCTCCTAAAGAGCAAGGATCATTCCTCCTCCCTCGCCCCTATACGCACATCGGGTATACCTAACATCGATGCATGCAAATGCGTGTCCCGTGTGGCCGTAAGAGTCGCCACATCTGCGTCCTTGGGTTATACCTACTTACGTTATTGTGTAAATTACGATGCGACTACGGAGCTGGTGTATTTGTGACCTGCACGGTGTATTGCCAACGGAAGGGTGTCGTATTCCCCCCCCCCCCATTGTCCTCTGCCAGTCTCTCTCTCTCGTCAAGCTCGGCGCACCAACTTTCTCATTTGCTCCAAAGTTCTCTGTCCGTCGGGGCGGTCTTATCCATATGGATGCTGGAATTAATTTAATTACACCAAACATCGGTCCACCTCTTTCTGCGCTCGGCACTCCCCTACTCCCCGGCTCAGCCTTTGGCCGGATCATCGGACTAACAGCCGGCCGACGGTTTTATCCAAAGCTTTTATATCGCGCGGACGAGCTGATCTTTGACATTGTCCAAGTTACCGTTGAGAGGAAAACTCCAAATAATAACAGTCCTCCTATACTCTCCCTCCGTATACCTACGTATGATTTTTCTACCCCTATCAGCGCGTGTCCGGGGGAGCACTGTCAAGAGGACAACGGTATAGCCTTGGTAGCGTGCAACGCGTATACGTGGAGAGGCCGCACTACTTTTGGCGATAGATAAGGTATTACGTATACTGGATGCGTAGTCTCTTTTTTCCGCAAAAAGTCGGAAGAGTACCTTTACCTACCTACGAGCGTTGCCGTGCCGGTGTAATGGCTCGTGAGTAAAAGTAGAAACGGACACGCGGGAGATGATGCTCCGGGCCGTATACCTATACACAACTGCATGTATGCATCGGAGAACTTTTTCCAATTGTCGAATTAATGCTCCTTGCTTTCGCGCGTTTCATACACGGAACAGCGGCACCCGCGCTTCCGTGCGATAAAACAACAAAAAAAAAAAAACACTCGGACGGGGGGGGGGATTTATTGGTTTGTTGCGCCTCAATTTTATCGTTCCTCCCCGTTTACTTCCTCCACACATACGTGTATCAAAATGTACAGTTTTCGTTGTTTCCAGAGCTTCTCAGGGTTTTTGAAACTTAGCGCCTCGTGCATGGTGAACCATCAATTATTTCTTTTTCTGTACAATATTATATAGGAGCTTTGCAAACATGTACGCATATGTTTCGCTATCAAACATGTAACACAGAGATTGCCGAAAGTTATTAAAAATCATGCATGCGAAGCCCTCCTCTCTTCCGTGCCATTATCTTTTTATTATTTTTACTACCGTGCAATAAAACGTCTACGCATATATATAGATTGGCATCGCGAAATTGCGACCGATCGAATTTAAATTTTTTCTTTCTTTTTTTTTTTTCCGTACCATTAATGCACTCGCGACGATAAAGATAAGCGATTGAACGACGCGCATAAACGTATACACGAGCGCCGTGCAATTAGCTTTGTTTACTGCTGTACTCTTGCGATAATATACATTCCCCCCCCCCCCCGTTGCGTTTGGCAAAAGATAAGAAAAGTTTTTCGTTTTAACGTGGATCGGAAAAAAAAGCGAAATTGTAAAAACCCGAGCTGCGGCGCGTTTGAGTCGACCGTGAAAATGATTGATTGTTGATTTATATATGATTCCCCGAAACGCGGCATCGCGCACATACACCCGATCGATCTGCTCTATGATTTTTAACCAGCGCGAGCTATACACAGATCGTTGCGAAATTGCGAATCAAAGTACCATTTAAAAAAATATACATGATAAACACGTGGGAGGAAACAATATCCATCACTATTGCAATTGCATCACAGCTGGTGCATGGACAAATTTTCTCGGAAGCACTACGATGAGTGAAGATAAACAATCGACGCTGCACGGAAAACTGTATACGTATACAAAATATACGGTAAGAGACAATAAGAAGTTGGCGTCGCCTCGTCCGCAACTTTAATTATAGGGAATCCGCGGAAAATTTCTCAACCGATTTTGCTCACACTATGGATACGTACATAATAATTTATTAGGTAAGTATATGCATACACCTAACATAGAACACGTGAACCGTATATACAATCGCGTGCACTGCCGATGATGCTGTTGGGCGAAACAAGACAGTAGCCCTGTATTTATGTATACATAATATACATAATATATATATATAACTTTGGTAGACAACGTGACGCACCCTTGTACATTATAGTTTGCATAAATGCACAATGTACACACACGGTAAGGAGTGCGGGTGTACCTATGGAGGTACATACATATACAACACATGCAGGAGGTAGTAGTCATGCACCTCGATTGCTCATGGGATTTTCCGAATATCTTGGTTATATACATATACGTATCAATATATATGTATATATGTGCGTATGTGTTATTATGCACAAGGAAATGTACACGGACGCATGCCGTTGGGACATGCCATGTGTGTAATGTAGGATGTAGGCAGAGGAGCGACCGGATTACGATCTCACTAATCTACGCGGACACAACATCAATAACGCGAGTATAGGAGCATGCGTGTGTACATTTGGACAATGCTCCTCTCGTGCGTGATATCGTTTCAACGAGGCATACATACATACATACATATACACACATACATATATAGACACACATATATAGGCATATACAGTAACCGTGCGAAAGACAAAGGCATCAGGCAACAAACGAGCGAATAAGGAAGATATCGGGCGACAACTTACGCTGACGTCGAACACGCCGTCCCTCATGATGGTCCTCCTCCCCTTGGGTTTGCCTCCCCCCTCGTCCCCGGCGTTGTCACCTGCACGAGGGGGAGGAGTAAGAGGGCCTGTTCTAGCGTCGCGGGTATCGTGGGCAGCTTCGCGCGCCTTCTCCCCCCGATCCCCGTCCGGCTCGTCGTGGTCGCAAAAGCAGCTGTGACGCGGCAACTTGCGCTCCAGCAACAGATCGTAGCTAATCAGCGCCACGTCGATGCCGGCTCCCGTCCCTCCTGCCGTTGACCTATGCGCCCCCCACCCCCCCCCTGCTCTTCCACGACCTGCAGCTCGCACCGCACTCGTGGGTGGTGTACCCGCGCAGAGGAGCTCGTTGGGCGTTACTTCATCCGGGTGGCACGGCGGCCCCAAAAGTGCAGGAAGTAACGGCGAGGTCGGCGCCGTCCAAACGGAGCATCCGCGTTGACGATCGGCAATTTGGCTCAGGGTGTTATTTACCGACTCGCTCCCTCTTCGGTCCCTTGCAGTCTCGTTTGTGCCCCCGTGTGCAGAAGAAAGGGAGCACTGCAGCCGCGTATACAAATCTGCGGAGTCACTGTATAAGTACTTTATCTCGCAGACCCAGGTATACAAGTCCGCGTGTGCCGTTGCACTGCTATGGGCTGTACACTTGTTAACTGTATATTATACAGTGCTTGTGTGCCTCTTGCGCTACTGCTCCGTATACCTGCGGGAATAACGTGACGAGCGTTTTACTTGTGGTTTGTCCCTCCGCGGCAAGGACACGTGCGCGCGTATGTTTGAGATGAGACGGGTTGGAGGGAATAAAAAAAAAATACACATAGACACAATTGGTCGGGCGAAGGATGAATATGATTGCATGCGTGCAGTGCTGAAGACAACATGATCGTATAGGAAAATAATGCAATTTCGTACGATGTAATTGGTATGTACTTTTTTATTTATCATCGCCCAAATGAGCCTCAGCCACGAGAGTACATAGTGTTTTTCAGCCACCGGGGCAAACCTGAGCTTGGACCGACTCAATAACACCTGTGATCACGTTGACGAAACATAAAATATAGGTATGCGTGTAAATCGGTGGCAAAACCGTTATGTGATGATTGTTGGGGCGTCTTACGTGTATTGGCGTTGGGACACACACATTACCGTCATCATATCGCTGGATCGAGAGAATTTTTACAATTGTCCTTGAGATTTGCGAGTTAAATGAGTACGAGATTCATATATTTTTAAGGATAATCCTTTGGCGGGGCAAAAATGGCTCGCGCGCAGGGATTTGCTCGGCCGATCGAAGTCGATTTAAATAAATCTAAATACATCCCGATAAACCAGCCCGAGAGAACGGATGTGGCGGCCGGTCGTTAAGCGGCGGTACACCACGTGCTTTCTCTCGCTCTTTATTTCCTTCTTTCTCCCGCGTGCATGTGTCAGTGTCGAGAGAACCGGCTCCACGGGGCCCGTACACTCCGACAATGTATACACTATCCGCACACTCTCGCTGCGCATTCCCCTGCCCTGTTCCCTACTTATTCCACCGTCGAATTTAGAAAGGCGACACGGAGCGGCTTCACAATGCACGCAGCCATATATACCCCAACTTACACTTTTTTTTTTTTTTCTGTTTTTTCCTCGGCTCTTATTATACGGACTCGCACACTTTCCGCGGTTGTACATATACATATATACAATATATGTCACATTGTAGTGCGGATCGTGCGACAAACGCCTGGCGCTATTGTACGCGCGTGGTTACGTAAACGAAGGCCAGCCGCGCAACCGAGCGGTAAACAACGAGTTGTTACCACAAGCTCATACATTATAATATATGAACCCATACACGGGGTATGTAGAGTGCCGCGTCCAAAGTCATAAAATACATTTGGGTACCGCCCATCCGACTGAATCCTTTTCTTTTTTTTTTCTTTTTTTTTTTTTTTTTTTTCTCAACGACCAGTACCGATTTCGCTTTTACCAACAAGTGCATTGCCATTATCGTAATTCTCATGCACGACTCGGGTGTCACTGTTGGACGAGAGGGAGAAAACGACTTGACACGTGAAGAAAGAGAAATCGACAGAGAAAAAAAAAAAAAAAAAAAAGAAAGAAAGATTGTTTTCTCCGCAATCGATTCGTGCGCACGACAGCTGCAACGGCCTATCATCAGTGTACTCGTGTACACGTACACATTATAGGCTCCGAAAATTAAAACGTGACGGCGAAAGGAGAAAGTGCGCAGATTCGTGTCAGAGAGTCCTCGCGGTCCCTTCCTCCTTCCCGTCCTTCTCCCGGCTCACCAACCGGATCGTCGAGCCCAATATTCCTTGCCTCTCGTCCTTGTATACAAAGGACCAAACAAACGCGCTCGCGAACAATGCAATGACACTTCGGGGATATACACATTGAGCAAGGATGGGGGGGGGGGGGAAATCGTGGCCCAAAAACGGTTGAAGAGTGTAATATATAAGAACCTCGTAGCATGAGCTGCAGCCTGTGTACGGGGTCCTGCTGCTGTTGTCCTGCCACCGAAGCCGACACAGTCCTGTTCCCTCTGTCGAGGCGTTTCGCGTACAGCAGAGCCCACCAAAACACCGAGTCAGCTGCGAAACAAGCAAGAGGCGTAAAATCGACAGAATCGAGAGAAGAGGAGAAAAAAAAAGTCTGTCCTTTCGAGGACGAGTATAGACGTGAGAGAGAGAGACGAGCTAACGGAGAGAACCGACGTCGCGATCCGGACGGCGGTCGGCGCTCAACTGACGGACGGAGCCTGAAACGATCGGGCGCTGTTCTCTGGCCCTGATGCGGCACATAGAGCCAACCGGCGCGCGCTCTCTTTCGGCTCCTTCTCTCTCTCATATATACATGTATATACGACTCCCCCGCAAATCTCTCTCGGTCTTGCGCATTGCAGAGCGTCCTCGTCGTGGTTGTGTCTATGTTTTTCACACACGCGTGTGCCCTTTACGCTGCGCCGCTCTCTCTCTCTCTTTCTTTCTGGCTCTCGGTCGTGTGTCTCCCCGTGCGATAAAGCGAGAGAAACGTCACACCTGTTGCATGTCCGATATGCTCCCTGCAGCACACCGAGAGCGATGCGTACACGGGGAGTAAGGAACAAGGGAGCTAGTATGTGTGTGTGTGTAGAGCAGGGGGCTGCAGGACTCGCCGCGGGGGATGTTTTTTCAAAGTTGTTTTGCTCGAGGATGACGCTCCGTGGGCCGGGTTTCAACCGTCCCGAGAAAACGACTGCGGTCGCCGGTTTTACTTTCCACTCCTCCTTCGCTCACCGCCAACGACCCACCGAAGAGAGCGCGCGAGAGTCATTGTCTTTTTTTTTTTTTTTTTTTTTTTTTTTTTTTTTTTTTTTTTTTTTTTTTTNTTTTTTTTTTTTTTTTTTTTTTGCGAGCCGCCTCTGCCGTTCGGGGCGCACTCGCTTTCCTCGTGCATTATTCAACTTTTCCTTTTTGGCCTCTCAACTTTTACGCCGATCACACTTCGTTCGACGCCTCTCGCTCTCTTCGTTCCAACCTTGCCCTCGTCTTCTTCTATTATTCTGTGCAGTTTATTCGTTAACAAAAGTGTACACAACAGTTTGCGGTTGCAATTATATACTCTCGAGGTTTCATGTCTTTCTCCTCTTCCCATGTTGTTTTCGACGTAACCAGTGACAATTTTTCATCGTGGATATAGGTAGACGCTGGTTTTTACACGCGAATCCTATACTCCCACAAGTTCAAAAGGAAACAAAAGTCCCGGACTTGTGGAAAAAAACGTACGCGAGTCCTGATGGAGGATAGAGAGTATAGACAGAGTTACGCCGTTACGCATTAACTATCTGTTTCTGTGCCTTCGTGTACGTATAATATACGGTTGCCGGCTCTCAGCCCCCACTTTCCGCTGTGTAGACACACCCCGAGAGTTGCAAATGGAATTTTAAAACAAAATATGATGGAGCGGCACTCGAGGAGGACCCAAGAGAGAAAAAAAAAGAAAAAAAGGAAGCGTGCACGTGAAAACAGAGCAATTCGTAAATCAACGCGCACACCTGCAAGTCCACATGTGCGTATACACGTACGGACAATTTTCTCGTCGATTTTTTGCCGGTGTTCACTCGTACGCGCAACGAGTTTTCATTCAAATCAGTGCCTCGCGGGCTTGGGCTAAATTTCGCGGCATCGTCATAAATTTGCATCCACCCTTTCAAAGGGGCGAATGAATTCGCTTGTATCCACGTGGCGCGTGTAACTGGAGCGCAAATGGCAAAAAAAAAAAAAAAAAAAAAAAAATTGGGAGCATGTTGGAAAATTTCGGCGTTAGTAGCGCAGTTGCGGCAGCAGCTGATGTGCGTTACGTAATTTGCGAAACGTCACGCGTGTCGGAGAGAAAGGCCGTGGTAGCGAAAGGATACATCGATTAAACAAGTAAGGTGCGAGTATATGTAGTCCATTATATGCCACTTTGACCTCGAAGCTTGGGGCCTTGGCTCCGGGCGGCGGGGAAAAGAGGTCGTTTTTGGTGTGGGTCGGAGTACGCCCAACTTGAAAATCCTCTCTTTGTATGTAAGTCTATGGACTCTCGCGCCACTGGTGCATTCCATGTATAGACCCTGCAGCTGCTTTTATAGACATTGGCGGGCCTCCCGAATGGCAGATGCCTATACGTTGGGCCTGTATACATGCGGAGCCTTCAATTTCCGCGGAGCCGGAAAAGCAAGGGGATTTTATTGTGTTCTCGCGCGAGGCGGGAGAAAAGACGCAGCTTCCGTACGCGCGTACAAAGAGAGCAAGAGGAAAAACGTTCCCAACCAATACATTTATATTATATATACAACCATTTCATTTTCTCATTTTCCGAGTGAGTATATATTATACGCGTTGTGGCGCTTTTGCGACTCCTTTCGGCGCGACGTGGCTCTGCTGCCGAAAATTAGTGGGTCGAAGTGAAAGGAGGAGGTTCGTGTAGTAACATACGCCTTGAGAGTTTTTTTTATATAAAAGAGCACGACTTGTGTTTTTTTTTTTTTTTTTTTTTTTTGCTCCGTGCCGAGGTACCTGTCTCGGGGTCAGTTTAGCGCGGGAGTTTCTTGCTTATCAGTGCGTGGCGCTGATTTTTCCGTCATCGGCGAAAGTACACAATCGGAGCCATGAGGTTTGATTTCTTTGAAAATTATATCGCGCCCACTTTTCGAGA